CACTCCCCTTTGAAAAGATTTATGGATGGAAATCGTTCATTACATATCGTGCAGAGTTTATTTTCAAGTTTATTAATTGCATCGCGGAATTTATGTAGAAGCCTTCGATCGGACGTTGAGAGATTTCCCGGATCTTTTGGTATATTGGAGGTGCGTCTTTTTCGCATGTTTAATGTGTTTTTATAATTTCGCTCATCCCGTTGATTATCAGTTTTTTGTCTATATAGTTCACGCTTGCGAGCAAGGCGAGCTTCGCGTTCTTCATTAGTTTCTAAGGCTAACTTCCGACGTTTTCGATTTCGTTCATCAGCTAGGCGTGCCTCTTTGATATCCTGGTTTTGTTCATTAGTTAGACATGCGTCTTCAAAGTTAGGTATTTTATTTTGAGTGTCCATGTGAAATAATAAAAATAGAAGGAATATAGCGCATTATTTATTAAATTGTCTGCTTATATAGTCTATATAGTTTAAATAGTTTAAAGATAGAACAGTTCGATCTCGATCGAATTCGTAGTTGCGAAGTTATATATTATGTTAATTATATAGTCTATATAGTTTAAATAGTTTAAAGATAGAACAGTTCGATCTCAATCGAATTCATAGTTGCGAAATTATACATTATGTTAATTATATAGTCTATATAGTTTAAATAGTTTAAAGATATAATAGTTCGATCTCGATCGAATTCATAGTTGCGAAGTTATACATTATGTTAATTATATAGTCTATATAGTTTAAATAGTTTAATTTAAAGATAGAACAGTTCGATCTCAATCGAATTCGTAGTTGCGAAGTTATACATTGTGTTAATTATTTAATTTAATTACTAATAGTCTCTATAATCACAATTAAATTAATTCTTAACTAGACGTATAATTCCGAATCTAATAAGCAAAGATCGTCTGCCTTTTGCACAGAAAAGAAACGAATTTCGTAGGTTACTTTAATGTCCTTTCTTTTTTTTTCTATTAATTTAACTCCTATCTATTACACCTAACTAATAA